CCCAAGAATGGCGAAACCGGCCGTGGGCTGTCGAAGAGTTTTAAGCAACCTTGTGAGTAGTTTCCTTTATGAAATAAACTTCCTTTTGCGAAGTTGTCACTCAAGGAGCCCGTCAATTTGTCACCACGTGATTATTGGGTTTCAGCAAGAGCCAATCACACTATTCTTTAGCTGTCCGAAGCCGAACGGTCAAGTGTTCATGCACTGGCCGGAAGGTCATGGGTTCGAAACCCCTTACTGTGATTTCGCGAGATGCTCACTGTTGATGATTCCCAATAGGAAGCAGCTGTGCAGTGCTTTTCGGCTTTTCAGCACAGAATAGTCTCACTGATAAGAATAAATTTCGATGGCAATTAAAACATTTCCTTAAAATCGATATATTTATTTGCCTGAGGAGGTTTACAAAAATTCTATCGTTATACGTTTGGCAAAACTAAAGGTTTCAAATGACCTGACATTTTTAACTGAGACGTTTACGGACACATAAATACGACGAGCTTGTACAACTGTCACAGGTTTCTGTCTCCCGATTCGTTGCTGATGAATGACACATCTGGCGTCTAGCCACAGTAAAAAAGGACGACAGGACAAGATAACTGTATAACAGAGATGCTGTTTAAAAACATATATATATATATATTATATATGAAACCGCTTGCTAAAGCAGTCATAGAATCTGCTTTACTCCATCTCATGTGCAGGTATCCAAACTGGTACTACAATGAACCAATGAACACCGAGTGCAATATCTATGTATCCGTCCTGAACAGAAAATCAGTGACTGCGCATGTTTCAGTGAATGAGCCTTCAGGAAACACAACCTGCAGATTGATTTCACTGGATCAGCGTTAAAGAAGGCTAAAGATGTATTTTATGTGGAACTGGACTAAGATGCAAGCATATCAGGTTGGGAAATCCGGAAAAAAACTGTTTAAAATAGAAGTCTGTGCGCTACATGAAATGTCCATCGTAGTGATGTTGGCAATGCTAGGTCTGACAAGATACTCAGACCCTACTGCCGCTGAAGCCAGATTCACTGTCCAAACTCACCGAAGAGGCAGTGTATACCAAAAAACAGAAGACCTAGTCCGTATATTGGAGTCGGCGAATAGGCGTTTTCTCTTGTCACTCAAGAACTTTGTCAACACCAGAACACATAACGTGAAATGTGACTAAACCCGTAGCTTGCCTGAGTTCAGGATCATTTCATTACAGGTAAGCTAATATTAGGCAAGTGATATCATGTCCGACTTCCCACGCGAACTACAAGGTCCCGTCACCCCCGCGAATATGGACCACAATAGAAAGAGACAAGTTTTATGGGATGACACTAGATCGCGCACTCTTCCCAACCGCAACTGTTTGGCATGTGAACTAGTGAGGTGCATACATTAGGCTTCCTTTGTTCGAACCATTGAGGTGTGAGCTTTATGCTTGTGATTACAAGGCCACTGGTTTCAACGGTACTACGACGTCGAACCACGGCAAGATACTTCGGAAGATTCCGTCCATACTGATCACATCTCCAGGTCAAGTGAAATACTGGAGCAGCGCCATACCTACCCCCGACCAGCAACTGCGATTTTATTCTACATCAACCGAACTTTTAACTCCATAGAGAGCTCGGTTATCCGACATATATTTTCCCAGAGAGAAAGTTTTTTAATATATACTCCCTACTCTGTAATGCCACGTCTCTGATCGTTCAAGTTTACGAAGAACTATCCAAAAGGCTTCCACAACTAGGGAGATTCGTCATGGCTATTCTCTTCCTCTCTTTCTGTTCCACTTCTCACCAACACGGGATGCACAAGAGAACGAGGCTCTTGCTCTCGGGATGACATCTAGTAAAAGAGTAGCGGAATGAAACCACTCGGAGGACAATGTCCGGTTGTTTGACCAGTCCGACAGCCTAGGTTAAACAGAACTTCCGGTCTCTTTCCTTGCTGCGATGAGCTTCGCACTTCCAAATGGCCCAGTATTGCTTCAGGATTTTCAGTACCCCTCTGTCCCCATGAAACTTTGTGAAGAACTTGAATTTGTTGTCTGGTTCATTTATCTGCGCAGCTGCATAAGTTGTGACCGCGCCATGACAAAAGCAGGTAATGCATGCAGTACCTGGGTGCTGGTGTAGGGTTCGTGGGAGATGAGCTATGACCAAGCCACGTCACGTGAAGATATCTACCGTCAAACGGGGTTTTGTGCGCTCTTTTCTGGCTCGGGTACACGTGTGAGTCTCCTTGCACCTGGCTAGGAACTCTACAATGTATGGCACCTAAACGACCCTAGTGGCGAGCATGCTATTACCACCTGATCAGATACCCAACTAAAGTCTATCTGTCGTTGTATGGTATGCTCATGTCCAGTGAGGCTCACGAAATACCTTGGATCAATTTCATACTTCAATATAATTCCTGGATGCGTTCACCCGTTGTGATTTCAGTGTGTTAACATCTTGTTCTTGATCGTTTTCCAAAGCAGAACAGGGCTTTCTGTGCTAAGTTTTCACCATCCCCTGTTCTTTCCACTCGTTACAGGGGCATGATTCCCTCATGACTATATGGCACTTCAGAATAAGTATTTACCAGTGCTGCATTGCTGTCGATGATGATGCTGACTTTCAGACGTGGCGGCTCAGGAGCACAACCGATACAACTTGATGAACAAGATCAGGACCTTCGAACAGCATGTTCCGTTGCAGTCGGGGATGATATAACGTACAAGCTACGCACGACAATTATAGTAAGATAACCAATCAGCTGAAACACCCTTTCGGTGCCTAGATCCCGTGCCACGCGAAGGAAGCACGAAGGCTGGGATACTGCCAGGTCGCCCAAGCCTAGACAGGGGAAGTCGAGAGGCAGAGGTCGGGCTCAAACCACAGACCTTCCGGTCAGTAAATTCGTGCTCTAACCACTTGAACCATCTCGCCCCCACTGATTCCAAATCCAGATGTAGAAGATTGTTTGCCCAGAAGGCGCAAACTCATTACCCGGAAGGTCCGTGATTCCAAGACAACCCCGGCGTCTCGACTTCTCTTATCTAGGCTTGGACAATCCGGCGGTATCTTGACTTCCGTGCTTCCTTCGGATGGTACGGCAATTAGGACAGAAGGGGTACGACACAACGGCAAAGGCTGAAAAGTGAACCTGATCAATTCGTTCGTGTTTCGCTCGCGTCGCGAGGATTAGATGCAACGATCTATGCTTACACTAGTTGTATGTACACTTTCAAATTTGGGTGTTGTAGAAAGCACTACAAGAACGCAAGCACGAACAAATGAAGAAAAAGTCTGAGTCAGCAAGAGCTTCAAAATTCACTAATTATACAGTATTGACCATTCCACTGAGACTTCTAGTGACGTACTGATAACGTGAACCGAAAAAAAACGGGAAGGATAATGCTATCATGCGAGCGACAGCTCTGTATGGTCACGTTGTTTTCGCGGACACAGATAGCGAGAAAGTTGAGAAATCAGACAGTCACGTGCTTACTTACGAAAATGCAAATGGACATGTGACTGTTTAAACACGGCCTTGGAAAATGGCGCCGTTGCAAACAAAAATTCTGGAAAGGGCGTTGGCAACCGAATCACAACACGCAGCCATACTACGTATCGGTGGCAAGTGCATTGTCGAAATAATTTACTGTGGCCGAGAACCTGGTTACCAGCAAACATGCGAACACGAAGTGGAAAAAAGGATTCAGATGTCATTCGCACATCAAACTCAGTTGCTTGAGGTAAATCCTAATGGAATAACCCCGGTGTTAGCCACACTAGTTCTTTCCACATCGCGGATTTCATGGATTTTTCGGCGTGGAATAGCTTTTTTTAGCTGTACTCACTCGGCATGAATGTTCTGGAACGAATTTGTAAGCCACAATACGGCAACCTGTAAATTACAGGCGCCATGGTGTAGGAATGCAGCACATTATGATCCAGACAAACAGATGTTGCGATGTGATCTTCTAACATCCACTCCCGTTTTTAAAATAGGTGACAATTGCATGGCGCATACCAGTTCGTATATCAACTTTTCGCAACTTTCTTGAAGTCCAGTCCCAGGATGGGTGTCACACATCATTCCTTCCTTCAATGTGAAGACTTCGAGACAAGATTCACACAAATGAAAGATTCATTCGTCTTACGCATTCCCAAGCTGAATTTGCGCTTAGTCACAACGAGGGTAGTGTGCCTCACATACAATGTGTAGGTCATGTTGTTTGAACGATGCAAATCTAATGGTCTAACATTTCCGTTTGCTTTTATCAAGGGTTCAACTAGATGTATACAGTACTACCCTGGACAGTATTGTCTTGGACGGCCAGAGATGTTTCCCAAATGATTCAAGGGCTATAGAGGCAGCTGAATTGTCCCGTGTCCCTTTTCGATCCTAATGGTCAGCTGCAACGTTAGAGGAGCGGATGATATTACATGGAAATAGGCCCCACAAGTGTCACAACTCAAACTCATAGAAGCTTAGTGGAAGATCAGTATGAGTGTTACATCCTTGGATTAGACATTTTTACAGTCCAGGACCAAAAGAGCTGACGAAAGAATTGGGCCACCCCTACGGTGAGTCTACTAGGAGTTAATAAGTAGTTTAAAAAGCACTAGATATTTTCAGATGGATACATTCCAGCTGGTGACGCTGTACACAATAGTCATACCCAGGAATAAAAACCACGGTTATTTACTTCTGTACGATATCTGTCTATCTCATAAACAGACAACGTAATTTGCAGCAGAAAGCATCGCTTTGTCGTGTCGGCCGATCGCGTTCCTGGTGTGAAACATTTTTCCGCTGAAAAAAATTCGGAGTGCGATTACTTAATGCCCTCCTATGACAAGCACCGGAACAGATAGGCCCAGTTTAATAGCAGACAAATGATCATAGCGCTTGTCAGGTTCGTGGCGAACTGCGGTTGTAGTTCAAATCAAAGGCATGAGAGAGCGTCATCGGCAACTCAGTGGATACTACTCATCCGGTGATCGGGAATTCGCTAGCCTCGGTTCCACTTCCAGCGATTTGCCACACAACGCGTATAGATGTAAGGAATTTCCAGAAAACTGGTTCGGAGAAAGTTTTATTTAACTCATAGAATGTTCGGTCAGGAACAATTGAGAGCTATCATGGAGGCCAAAGTACCGGAGTAGTATTATTGCTGTGGGTTTCATTGCGTCAAGGAAGACTTCCTCGGAAGAAAAGACGTCCACAGTAAGCATTTCTCCTCGTTTCTTCATCGGGTCTATTACCCTCAACTCTAGAGAGTCAATGATTTCGTTTCCCCACTAATGATTTAACCCGGCAGAATTTTCACCATAAAATGCAAAAGATATTATATTTCAAGGGAAACATGAGAAATGACATGGGATGTCGGCCCTAAGTTATCTCAGTGATTTGCGCATGGTTCGAAACCTGATACACCTAGTCGGATAATGGTCTCCAACATAGATCTAGAAGTACGCTTCATCACTCGGAGTGCTGATCCCACCCTTATACACAAGTAGTATTCATCACGCGGAAACTGTTCATCGTAAACGTCTGAATCTGCAAAAGGAAACAGGTTGACGGCTCGGGCCAAGACAGACCACAACTTTTCACATCAACGTCTGGCTCAACTGTTCTTAGAGTGTTTTTCTTGGAGGGCTAAATAAATTTTCCATTGCGAAGCTCAGTGCTCAAAGCGTAACCTATGAGTTATCTAAACTTGGCTCGAAAGCTTCTATTTGAGTAGGAACTAGTTTCCAGAATCCATAGTCACTGGAGGATTGCGTAAGCCTGTGCAAGGTGACGAATGAAATAAACCGTTTTCTAGAGTAGCACACTGGTGGACAACGAACTGATACATTTGTTGGATGGATGTTGGTCTGCTGTCCGGAGGACAGCCGCTCTAAATGACCGAATGCCAAATCAACTGGACGGATGTCACGGAGCGAACGAAACCAAACCCTGATTGGTCAAATTGTCAATCAGGATTAAGCATTTATAGCTCAGCGACTCTCACCCCCATAGTGTGCGGGGCAGGAAAACAAGCTCTGATATTGGAGTTGCAACGCCGCTCACAAAACACAACATCTGCAGTATTTTAATTTCTTTCTTTTATCACATGGAAGCTGTCTTGGAGTGAGATACTGGTCAATGCGTCGCAAACCAGTTTAAATAAGCCCACTAGTGGTTTTGTCATTTATAATGTGCCGAGTTAGACATGGACAAAACTAACAGCATGCCAACACCTAGTATGTTCCGCCTCGTGAGCTGTGGCAGTCAAGTAACTCTTGGCTCGAGCCGTCTAACAAACAGTACACTTATCAAACCAACATGGCATCCCACGAAGAGCTTCCAGCTACCTTATAAATAGTGTTCTTACAACAAAATACACTGCAATATCTCGAATATCGTATGAAATGAAACACGAGCCAGTCTTTGTGCAGTGCATTCAGTTGGAGAATAGCATAAATAAGAGACTCGGCTGGGATTCACTTGAGTATTCCGTTAGAACCAAGGTGGTTCTCAAACTGCCTCCAATTAAGGTTCATGCAGAACCTAAGGTAGACAGAGACTCAGGAACTGCGTCTACCTGACAAGCGCCAGAACTGGAGAAGCTGGTCATGGGCTGTCGAAAAGTTTTCCGCACTCTTATGAGTAATGGGTTCCGCCTATATTGTGAGAGTACTTGAAAAAATAGAGATGAAAACAAATGGAGAGCACACCGATGACGTTTGGCGAGTAAAGCGGATTTCCCTCGAAGCAAAGCCAAACTTGGTGGATGGCGGAGCTGTATCATATATACGGAAGAAGTAAATCAGCCATAAATCACTTAGTTTTTCCTAGAAAAAGTTTAATTCTGAAAAACTTTGCAATTTGGGGCCAGCTGGTACGCTGAGGTTGGGCAGCAGGCATACCACCCCAAGAGAAGAATTTCTTCAGAAAGGGGTAAACAGCCTAGTTTTGATGTGGCATTGCTTGAAAGAAGTACAGGTGCGGGAGGGGGGGCGAAATAGCTCAGTGGTTCGAACCCGACCTTTGCCTTTCAACTCACCTGTCTAGGATCGGGCAACCTGGCGGTATTCTAGTGCTCGTGATTCCTTCAAATGGCATAGCAATTCGGCATCAAAAGGGCGCTACAGCTGAACAACTATTATATTACTATAAGTGTTCATTGACTATGGGCTATTCATGTATAAGCCACTCCCGTAGGCAACAAAGAATCGGTTAGATTGACAGTGTTTTTCGTGATTGCCTATACGGGGTGATGGAACGTTGTACTGAGTGTATGATTGAGCAAAAAATCAATCGTAGTCGAACCACAAAGTCATCCCGAAACTACATACTCTAGTATAAACGTGCACAAATGGGCCATCTCTTGTCAAAGAGAGGAAGAAAGAACTGTCGTCGGACGGCGCAACAGATCGATTGTGTGTGTGTGTGTGTGTGTGTGAAAGCGCAATACAATTGTGTATTGCCAGGTCAACGAATTTCGACGACGACGTCAACAACAACAACAACAATGCGCAATCGTCGAACGATTGGAAACAATATGCCGATTAGAGGTCAGTCGGACAAACAAGCGAGGCGTCCAGAAAGTGGAATTCACGATTTCAAAAGGACTCAGCCATGGTGTTTTTGTTTTCTTGGTAAATTATACACAAACATGTGGAAGGACGGGTGAATTCACATATCAAAATGTAGCAATAGCTTCCAAATCCTAATCAAAACAAACACAAACCGTACAACCATGAGTCAGAGTTATAGCCCGCATTCTCTTTTTCAATGTTTCTCGAGTGATGGCACGTCTTCATCTGGAACAGTTCCCTCTCTTCTTCATGTTCTTCTGTACATTATTCAATAACCGTTGCTTGCATTTTCACGTTTGTGATCATTCTTTTCGGAAAAAAAGATGCTCAGGTGTAACACCCTTTCGGTGCCTAGCTGCCATTCTACCCGAAGGGATCACGAGGGCTGGGACACTGCCAGGTTACCCAAGCCTAGACAGGGGACACTAAACAGACATCGCGGATGACATTTTTGTGAACAGTCCGAAGCAGGATGAGTGGCCTAGGACGGTAATAACATTACAAAAATTTACTTGTTCGGCCATGCCGATGATGCTGATGATCTCGATATACTGAAGAGGCTTTTGGTGGTCAAACCAACACCAACCAACAACACGCAATTGTCACGTGCGTGATACGAGTGCTGCCAAATCACCATTGTTGCTCACCCGGTGTGGAACAGCATTCAGAACCTTTATCGTATGGAGAACGTTGTTGTGTCTTTTGTCCCCTGCTCGTGGCGTGGTAGCAGGGTCTTCTATTGCTCTTTATCCCTAGATTGCCAATTCCTTCTCAGTTGAACCTATTCGTTCGTTTTGTAGGCATTATTTGAACAGTTCTGGATTCGGAGATTCTTACTGGGGCGAGATGGCCCAAGTAGTTAGAGCGCGAATTTACTGACAGGAAGGTTCGTGGTTCGAACCCGACCTCTGCCTCTTGACTTCCCCTGTCTAGGCTTGAGCAACCTGGCAGTATCCTAGCCCTTGTGAAACCTTCGGGTTGCATGGCAGTTAGACACCGAAAGGGTGCTACAGCTGAACGATTTTTTTACACGTTTATTTCTGGTACAGCCGACCACCCGCTTCCCATAAAAATATTGCCTGTGGGTTGAAGACAGATTTGCAGGCCTAACAGAAACCCCTATCAAACTAAACTGTGACAATTAGTCGCCGCACGTAGTGCCACAGGTCGTTTGGAAAACGGCCCCACAGCGGGCGTAACCCTGAAGGAGTTATACTCAACAGAAACACGAAAGTTGAGTGGAAACAGAGTTCATTTTTCCGTGAACATCTTCATAAGCAAATCCCAGAGGGTAAAAATAACTAACTTACAACCACAGTGTCCTCGATTACGCCACGAATGTGAGCACACGTGGCATCCATCCGACGAAAAAATTGTATAATATCCAGGTCAGGATCACATGACACGTTGCACAAGTTTTGTGTGCATGCAGGTGTGTATACTTATGTCATGACTGAGGCGATAAACTGAAAAGTTCTCCTGGTCATGAAAAAACCCTCCCATTGAAATACTGGAAAATCCACAATTAAAATCACAGAAAATGAAAATTCAAAACTGTATTGCGTTCTGGAAGGGAGCACCCTGGAAGTTTGATTACTCTGTTGCGACGGGTTGGACTGCTTCGTTCGTGACAGATGATGAACAAGGTGTTGTGCTAACATCAATCAAGCCAAATCACGGGTCGATGTTTATACATGTTGACATAACAGTTATCAGCCGACTACGGTGCTAAAAGTTGGTTAGAGTTTACTCATGGACTAGCCTCTTCCAGAGCATTTTCAACTTAGAGTTCAACCTTAGGCGGTGTTTTGGAGCTTCTCCGGTGAAACTTTCATTGAACAGACATCCTTTTTAAGGGGATAAAAGATCGTACCCCCTGAACTTAAGTCTATTTAGCGTCGAAAGCAGTAAGTAGTATGCCTGACAAATATGAAAATGGACAATCGTAAAACACTGTACGTGTGATGAATTTCAACGCATTGTGAAGCCGTTCGCTTGCTTGAACAAGGCTTGAATTAAAGTAACACTAGATAATACATGGTGGGGCAAAAGATGAACTGGAACCTCAGGAACTAGTTGTGAGCAATTCGCTTTACACGTGGGTTGGTTTTACATTCCCAAGTTCGGAAAGAATGGGTGCATGTGGTAGTTGATGACACGTGGGATCGACTTCTATGAGCAAACTTTGTCACCTGAGCATGCGTAACAGTGAAGAGGACAAGCCTGCATATCCCAACTGCTCTTCCGTCTAAAAAGGCCAGATTTCGTCTGAACTCTGAGTTTTAAGGGGTGTGAAAGTGCTAACATTGACCAATGTATCGTCAACCCAAAAGCGAATCTGGAAAATTCAGCAGATGACATTTCACAAGTGTGTCGAGCAGTTTTGTACCACAGCCTTCCTTATAGCGCAGAAGCGTCACACACTCAGTGCAAATTCACTCTGCCTTACTGCACCATGATAAATGTGAGATGGAGGTTTGTGTGGCAATCTAGTCCGGACTGACTGCGGCAAGGTGCTGTGAATACTTTCCTTCCCGCTTCGTCTGCCTCGTAATCCCCAATTTAAAAGTGTATGTTCGGCTGGCATAATAGAGCCACGGCAAGGGTTCACTGGGAATTTCGATTAAGGCACACTATTTAGTAAAAAAAAACTTATAAAGTTGAGAAAAAACGAGAAACACCGCATAGCTACTTTAAATTCCTCGGAACCAGTAGTGTGAATCTAACAAATAACCAGTGAGAAATTAACAGGATACGAGCTGTCAACCGGTACCAGGAATGGTAATACAGGTAGCGTTTTAACCTGGGCTGACTTCATTTTCAGGGTGAAATTTCATTTAAAACTTGAAAAATCTACTCACGACCTGGAAACTACGAGTAATGTGCGTGGAAAAGAAAAAACACAGATCGCATGAACCCTGCGTTTAAAGATTCGTCGGTCAAAGAGCCTGTCAGCACGTGATCACGTGATATGAACTGCGCTACTGGAGAACGCCTGAGCTATATCCGATCTAAGTGCGATTTGACTGCATTGATGATCAGTTATTCAAAACAGACTAATGGGAGGGTCTGGCTGGCATCGTCCTAGGGATTCGTGAGATCCGCAATAGTTGTGATTTCCGAAATGGGCGAAAAAGATCTGCAATGCTTCTCGGAGATTCAGCAAGGTCTCATCAACACCAACATCACAGACAACAAGGTATCAGGTCGCTCAGACCTGAACAGGAGGCCCAGCCAAAGCACTTGTCCCAAGAGCCTGCCACTTTTGATAAATATGTCGCCACCAAAACTAGCGGACTAGGGAATCGTCTTCTGAATCTTCGTCTGATCTCTATCCGTTGACCAAGTTGGTATGAGAGAGTCCACTAACGTCACACAGACAATCTCTAGTATAGCTCAGGGAGTCACGAAGGGTTCCCAATCTCTTCGCGGTGTGTATAGATTGCAAGAGATACCAACCAAAACGCGATAGGTGCTCCAACAAAGTCAAGCAAGCGTTTTTCAGGTCACAGGTTTGGAACACATGTAGGTGAGCTTTTCTGGAACCCAACCCGGTGTTCTAACACCTGTACCGTCCTATCCTCATTTGACCTAAAATCAAGTGTACCCGATAGGTGTACATCAAAGGGTTAGCCGCACGTGACGGACGAATGTTTTTTGGTATACACTGGGCTCCAGGGGGCGACATGTTTCAATTGGTTAGAGCGCGAATTTACTGACAGGAAGGTCAGGTGGTTCGAATCCGACCTCTGCCTCTTGACTTCCCCTGTCTAGGCTTGGGCAACCTGGCAGTATCCCAGCCCTCGTGCTTCCTTTGGGTTGCATGGCAGCTAGGCACCGAAAGCGTGTTACAGTTAAATTATATTTTATCTTTTATCTTCTCTGCTCTCACTCAAATGAGAACATCCCAAATTCGAATGCATATTACTTAAGACAGCTGTTCATTAAATTTACTATCATTCTTGGTGGCCGAATCGTGTGACGAGTTTGATAGCTCCGCTGAAAGCATTCCATCATCCATCAAACTGACATCCTCAGTGCGTCACGTTTTGCAACACATCAGCACCGTGCTTATACTATCACGACTGATGACGGAACGCTTGCGGTGAAGTTGTCAAACCGTGTACAATACGACCATCTACGCTGGAAGGATTATCTTCTACCCGATGATCACTTTGATTTGAATGCACCAGACCGTCATGTTTCGTGCGATCGATAACTACCCCTGGACCAAACTCCACATGCACGATTCTCAGGATTCAATCGGCAGCTAAAATATTCCGGACAATGATTTGCACTCAACGATGAGTTATACGATCATACGCGTGATGGACCAGCTCATTTAAGTTAAAAGAGAGACGGCGTGCGAATCCTTGGTACTCTCGGTGGACAGAGATAGTGTATTTATCTCCGGGAATGGTGGAGTAAACAAAGTGGGCGCTGCGATGAAATTTCATCTTCTGGAAACGTCGGTATGTAAATTTATGACCAATTTCCCAGGACAACTCATCAAGATTCGCTGCAAACCCTGTACGGTCGTTCTGTTTGCATTTTCGGGTCAGGCATATCCACCAAATGTTCCGAAGTTCGTGTTTGAAGCACAAACACTGTGGTGCCCTTAACAGGGGCCTTTACCAAAAGGACCATTTTGTCCCGATTCCTGGACAACTTAACAAAATGCTCGAACCCGAAAAATTTGGCAATTGTAGCCCTGATAATCCCTAGTAAAGACTGCTCGATTTTGAAAAAAAAATGGACACACTCTGGCGTCACAATCGATTTCTGTTTATTTGTAGTGAGGTTCAAAAACCAAGTTCGGCTCTATTGGTTATAGCGGACTGGAGTTCATGATACTGACAACTGGACATTTTGAACGCGGTGATGGTCATGTGGTTTTAGGAATTTACCATGGAGCGTGAGGTTAACCGTGGATGGTCTGGTTTATTTGTCAACACTTCAAAAGCCGATAATCGTAGAGAGCCGATTCACTGAACGAAGGCTCATTGTGTAAGCGGTCTAGATAGTTAGACGACTGCGTTATGAGAAACGATATGCTCCTGTCTTCCAAAAAGTCTAATAAGGATCGCTTGGATCAGCTGGAACGCCGTCCGGAGCGCATCTTAAGCTGTTAGTGGTTGTTCGTGTGAGTTCCAGTATCACCTAAAATTAATGGGGCTGTCTCCTGAAGATCATGTGCGTCTCAGTTCACGCACCTATAGATTGCAGTGGTAAACATGCCTGGAGTACTACGCACGTCAAATGTTTCGCAAGTGGCTCTTGTCCAAACAGGGTTCCACGATAAGCGTGAATTCACCTTCAAAACTGTTATCAAGCAGACGTTCAAGGTAAGTGCGAATCGATTAGTTTGGTCGGCCAGGCATGGAAGAACTACAGGATGTCAACAACTTAGGTTAGTTGTAGGTGGTTAGGAGATTTGTGGAATCCGCATTCACATAACTCTCGTTTGAACAGGAGTCTTTGTTTCCTGACGCAGCCATTCTGGTGGGCCCACAGCAAACAGAAGCTCCCGTTAAAGCTCACCAGCAGTGAGTATCTTTGGCCGTACCGGAGTTTGGACTCCAGAAATCTGGTATTCGAGACGGGCGTGTTATCACTACTCCACCAGCGCACGCTGGACGCACCTGAATGTCCACATCTGAGTAGGTGAACATATTCACGATTGAGTGATGCGATTGGTTTGCCCGACGCCTCGAACGACGATGCTGAAGAGCTCTAACAAGAACGAAGCTTGGGTCCAGGAATTCCGCCCCTTGGAATGGATAATCGCGTCGTGACAGGACGAGCGCCGTTCGAGACAGAATAATGTGAACGCCAAATTATGTTAAGTTAAACTCGTTTCAACTCTGGCTGTGCCTTTCATCGGCACATATAAGGACGAGGTAGAAAAATTATTCTTCTTTTTGTTCGTTTGATTTTGAGTACAACGGTGTGAAAACTGACCAAACACTGACACTGCTCCACCACCTACGCTATTGTTCTTTGCATGATGAACAAATTGAGGATGATCAATCAGATAGGCCAAATAAAATGAAACAGGAAATGGAAGGATGCTGACTTCAG